GTCTGTTGTGAAGCAAAGGGAAATCATGGCCGGATGGTTTTCCTGTTTGTAAAGCTGATTAATAAGCTGTTGTTATTTTCAATTTTGCCAAATTAATGTAAATGTTTGATGTTAAATTTTGATTCTGTTAATAAATGACCACGTTCATTTTGATGGGTCAAAGAAAATTAACGTCTCACGTTACATTTTTAATAATTAAATGCACAACATTATTCAGTCCAGAAAAATGAATGAATCCGTTTAATTTATGAATGTATCGCAGAATATGTTCATCTACATACTGGCGGCCCGTACGTTTGTCTACATACTGGTGGCCTCGTACGCTTCATAAATGGACTGTTATTCGTGTAACAATTGGAGGCTGCACAGCTGCAGAAAGAAAAGCTTTGCAGAGAGTGGTGAAGGCTGCACAGAAGATGTTGGAGTCAGTCTCCCCACCATCACAGACATCTACACCTCCAGATGCAGGAAGAGGGCCACCTGCATCATGAAGGACCACACTCACCCAGCACACACACTTTTTGCCCCACTCCCCTCAGGAAGGAGGTTGAGGAGCATTAAGTGTAGAACCACTAGACTGAGGAACAGCTTCTACCCTGAGGCTGTTAGACTCAGGAATCTCTAACCAGAATAATCACTGTGAAAAATCACATCATGTTGCTGCTGATCAGTTTCATGTTGCTGCTGATCAGTTTCATGTTGCTGATCAGTTTCATGTTGCTGCTGATCAGTTTCATGTTGCTGCTGATCTGTTGCATGTTGTTGCTGATCTGTTTCATGTTGCTGCTGATCTGTTTCATGTTGCTGCTGATCTGTTTCATGTTGCAGCTGATCTGGTTCATGTTGCAGCTGATCTGTTGCATGTTGCTGCTGATCTGTTGCATGTTGCTGCTGATCTGTTTCATGTTGTTGCTGATCTGTTTCATGTTGCTGCTGATCTGTTGCATGTTGCTGCTGATCTGTTTCATGTTGCTACTGATCTGTTTCATGTTGTTGCTGATCTGTTTCATGTTGCTGCTGATCTGTTTCATGTTGTTGCTGATCTGTTTCATGTTGTTGCTG